CCGCCCGTGGCAGGCTGTCCCAGGGAGATGCCAACGCTCAGCCCCTCTTCCCAGCTGGTTTGGCATCGCCTGCCTCCATGAACGACTCCCCAAGAAGCTGCTCTAAAGCTACATAATTTTTTTTTCCTATTTCAAAGCAGCTGTTGGAGTTGCTGTCAGCCAGCACGCAGCCGAGTCTGGTAACAGTGGGATGATGGCAAGGGCTGCTCGGGGACAACCAGCCCTACCCCAGGGACGGCTGCAAAGCCCCGGGGAGGTCAGGAAGGACCTGGCCACGTGTATTTCAGGCTCAAAAGCACTGGCAATGTCTGCCTGTCCATCCATCTGTCCATCAATCCATACACCCATCTGTCTGGGGTTAAATCCAGCCAGTCCCCCATCCCCCCAGCCTGGCTGCCATCACACACTGGTGCCACCGCTTTAATTCCCTTTACTTATTTATCATCGCAATTGTCTCTTAATTGCTTTGGCAGCCCCTCCAAGCCTCCTGGTGAGGGAGGGAGGTGCTGGTGTATAAATAAAGGCCATAAATAAATAAACCCAGTTGACAGCAAGGGGATCCAGCCAGGCTGCCCCAGGAGACAGCACCCATTTGCCCCAAGCAGCTCTCCCCATATGTGCCCCAGATGGCCCTGGAAGTGACAGGCTGGTCCCCAGGAAGCTCCAATGTGGCCTTGGGAACTTCCCCCAAATCGTGGCTTTCTGGCCCAAGGAAACCAGCACACACAGCTGCAACCAAAATTGAGCTGGTGTTGGGTATGTGAGAGCAAGAGGGAGCAGAAAAGGGAAAATCAAAGAGGAAATATCAAAAATCCCCAACCCACATTTTAAATTAATTAATGATGTCCCTGGTGACTCAGCAGAGGCCAAATGGATCTGCTTCATGTTTTATTGAAGGATTTTGCTGCAGGAGGCTGAGGACAGTGAGAGACAGGGCAAATGGGGTGTTGAGGGTGCTCCCAGGGGAGGTGGCCCTGGGGTTGGGTGTCAGCATCCAGTGTAGGGCCAAAGCTGTCCTGGGTGCCTCATGTGAATGCCCAGGTCCCCTGCCACCATGGTGGCACTTGCATAATCATCTTTACATGCTAATTGGGATGGAAAAGCACAGGTTTTCTCCCATTCCTGGTGCCAGGCACTAACCTGGGCACTGCTGGAAGAGGAGGTGTAAGCAGCCCAGAGCAGGCAGGACCCTCCAGGACCAAGGAGGGCCTGGACTGCTCCTGCAGCATCCCCTTGCCTCTGGGTGCACCAGGGACGAACCTGCAGGGAAGCAGCAGCCTGGAAGCACCTTCTGGCTGGGCTTTCCAAAGAGGGGTTGGGTAGTTTAGTGCTTAACAGCCGCTGAGGGATATTATTTCTTTTTGGTGAAATTGTCTAATCAATCACTTTTTAATTCAGCCGGCTCTGGCACCCGGGACGCCCCAGGACACCGTGGCCTGTCTTGCAGAGAGAAATATGGCTGGATCACTGCTGGCCATCCACCTCCAGGGCTCAGCCCCACTGGGGGGACAGGCAGTGTTCCCCAAACCCACCCCTCACCTCTGTCAGCTCTGAATCCCCATGGCAGGTATTACTTTCACTGCCCCCATTGCTTTGCATCGTGAGACCCATCCTGCTGAGGAGAGGGGGAACAAGGCAGGCCAGCACAGGTCAGCCACCAGGAAGAGGTTCCAATGGTAAGGATGTGCTGGTGCTGCTATGGGGAGACAGTCAGGGCAGGGGGAGCCGGTTAAATCACAAATCAGAACAGATTCAAGGCCAGGAAGGTGCAGGTGCCAGCACAGGGACAGCAGGGCACTGCCTTGTCCGTGTTCAAGGATGCCTGAGGGAGCAGCAGGAGCAGCCACCTCCTGGTTCCTGACTCCTGCCAGGGCAAAGCCATGGCACGAAATCTTCCCTGGCCAAGCCCCTGCAGCAGATGCCCTTCCCCAAACCATCAACAGCCCCCGGGATCAGGGCCTGCTGCCCAAATCCATCCAAGGGATAACATGGTAAGCACTTTGTCCCTGAACCTTCAAACAGCTGAATCCCCTCAGGGACACGTGGCTCCTTGGTGATGGTCAAGCCTTGCCTAAACCTTGTCTAACCCTGCCTCTCAGGCTGGAAGTTTTTCTATTTCTTTCCCTGGCCATTGCTCTTCCAAGTGTTGCAATAGACTGAATCCATCCCCGATGCCAGTTTGGCCTCAGATTTATGGCCCAAGCCCCAAAATCCGCCGCCGCTTGTGAGGTCCTTCGAGAGAATCACAGCAGAAAGTGTTTATTTCCATCATAAAGATCTGCTTTAATATTTTAACATAAATCAAGCTGCGCTTTATGGTGATAATAAATTCGTTGGCAGAAACTGCCTTTGCAGCCCGAGGCGGCGGAGCAATTCAATTTGTTTGGTTTTAAGTGTAAGGAGCCGTAATTGAGAAGGGGAAAGTACAGATGTTTTAATTGAGTTTGCAGCTACCACCCAGAGTTGCAGGAGCCTAATAGAGAGGAAGAGGTGAGGGTCTCCATTAGCCTCTCGGCTTGCCATTTCTCCTTGGCCTGCAGCCCCATCCGTCACGGCTGTCCCCGCCAGGAATAGCTACTCCGTGCCTGCACACGAGGAGGAAGGGGATGGAAAAAGAAGTCAGACTAAACCAGATGTATAATGTGCATTTTATTGGTTTTAATCCCTTTTTTTTTTTTTTTTTAAAACTAATTACAGTCAGGACAAGCATCACGTGTGAATCTGTAATAATGAACTGTTAGTGCTGATAATGGCCAAATAAAAATAGACTCAATTCGCGATGGGTGAGAGGAGGGAGCTCTCCCCTGTGTGACCGCACCCAGGGGTCACACAGCATCCCTCCAGCCAGCGCTGGCTGCACTGAGCCATCCCCTTCCCGCTTTCTCCAGTAATTTTTAAGGCATTGCTCTGTCATGTTTTATATGAAAAATGTTCTCTGCCGTAGAGCTTCTTTCCGTTAACCACCCCAATTCCTCGGATATATTTGTTTTGCTGCTGTGCAAGGACGATGGGTGTCTGGGAATTCGTGGTTATTTATTTGAGAAGCACTCATGCTCCTTTGGGGAGCAGAGTCCTTCCCAGTAAGGTACTACAGCAAAGGCTGGGGCCAGGGTGTGAGCCCCTCAGTGTGCCACTACATCCAAAACCCGGATCCAAGCAGCTCCTGGAGGTACAGCCCCTCAGAAGTCACTGTCACACACTGTGTTGAGGGGGACATATGGGCCAGGGAAGAGAAGGCACATCTGTAAATGTAAGAGGTGGCAGGAAAGGGGAGGGGGTGTCAGGCTGGCGCTCTTCCTCCCCTATCCCAGGCAGGGCCAGCGGGGAAGCCCTGAGAGAGGAGGGGAGGGCGAGAGGAGATGGAATAACGGAGAACAGCCCCGTTCTCTGGGTGCAATGAAATGTGAAGGCAAGAGGCTGAAATGGGCATGTGGAGGGCTGGGGCTGAGCCTTGCAAAGCACGGGCAGCCCAGGGCAGAGAGAGCTCTCAGTCCCTTCCATGAACCCACACCTGCACACTCGTGCAGAGGAACAGCCCCCTCAGCCTCTCCAGCTTCCAAAGGCTCATTTCGTCAGCATTAAATTCCTCCCTCCAGCTCTGCCCAGCTCCCAGCTGCCTCGCAGGTGGCTCCCAGCTCAGCTGCCCCACGAATCTGCCCTCCAACCTACTGCTTCCTAAATGAGACACCAGCACCAGCTACCTGTAAAATACCTTCTTAATTTGGTACTGAAGATGCCACATCAGCTTCTCAGCAGCTCTTGGGGATGTTTAAACTCACTAGCAAGGGCTGCCAAAGCCTGTTTAGGATCAAGCTGCCGAGAAGACAAACAGTCCCCCCGGATCCTCTCCAGGCAGCTCCACAAGGACACAGTGGCAGTGCTCAGGCTCGAGAGGTGCAGGGTTTTGCTCTAAAAGCCATGAAGTGGTTTTATACAGCTCCAGGTACTTGCATATTCCCCCAGGAGGAGCACTTCAGGTCATATGGAAACCAGAAAGTCCTACTTGAAAACAGAGCTTGATTAAAAAGAGCTGCAGTTCAAAGCTTGCTTTAGTGAGTGGTGACATTTAATACTGCAGCAAGTGCAGAGGGCAGGAGGATCTGACATGCACCTGGCTTTGAACCTGCTTAGATAACAGGGGGTTAAAATATTTCAGGTGAAGACTTTTAATGTTCTTCCTTTTGTCAGGAAACCCCATTTGATCTGTGCCCAAGGGCCTCAGAGCACAGGACTTGGTGTTGTTTGTCACTGTGTGGTGTTACAGTGACCACAATTGCCTTAAAAGCAGAGGCTCACCTAGAGCTGCCTAAGGTAAGAGCAGCCCCATTCTCAGAGCAGCAGAGCAGGAGCAGCCCAAAGCCCACCTTAACCCTGTGCAGAAGGAGAAGAGGGGGGATTCAAGCCCAGTTCCAGCACGGTTTCAGGTTTTGCTGCCCCGTTTTGGGAGCTGTGCTGCTGCAGGCAGGACTGAGCCAGGACACGGCCGCTTCCTCCTGGCACCAGCACATTCCCCTGAGTTAACACCCACCTTGTTTCAAGGCTAATTACCCAGCACGGGGAGCTGGGAACGCATCACTGTGCACAGCCGGAGCTCCGCGGGCCTCTCGCGTGTCAGGACTGGGTAATTAGCACCTCCCCAGCCCATTCCCGATCCCCACCGCTGGAGTCAGGGCCTGGCTGCTTGTAGCAGCCCCGTGCAAAGGGGAGAAAGGGACAAGGGCTCTGGCAGCAGAAACGCCCGAGCCGTGTGCTGTTGCCGATTGTGCAAGGCTGATTGCCTTTCCAGGGGGAAGAGCTGTATCCCTGCATGCAGAGGGGGTATTGCTCTGAGCAACTGGGCTGCCACAGCACAAAAAAACCAGGATGGAAGTGTTAATGTAAACTCCCGGGCTGGAGAAGTCCAGCTCTAAGCCACAGATCCCAGATCCCAGGCAATCCATGATGCACAAACAAATTAATGACTCTAGAAAATGAAAATGTAACTGCAAAAAATTATGTCCTTCTGAATTAGGTCTATTCCCACTCTAATTTCTTCCTTCAGGTGGCACAGGAGGTTGGTTTGAAGGAGTCTCAGCAGAAGGGAGACTCAGTTCTCCCAAACTCCTGGTGGATTCTGCACAGCACATCCCTGCCTTTGGGAGAAGGGACATTTAGCTGATCAGTGCAGTGAGCAGCCGAGGCTGTCTGCTCTTCTGTGTGCCGAGACCTGCAGCACTCAGAGAGCCACTGAGGGACAGAGAACGTGCTGCTCCGACAGAGCCGAAGGCAGAAATGGCTGGACACTGGTTAATGGTGCAGGCTGCCAAGGGCTCAGCCCCAGGGCTTTGTCTGAGAACCACGACTGTGACAAGGCTGAATCCACTCCATCCACACCCAAAATGGAGCGAAGAAAGTCTGTGTCCAGGTCTGACCCGTGTCACCAAGCCAGTGGCCTGGAAACTTCCCTTCACACTACCTCTCCCCCACTGCACAGTCCCAGAGGGGGAGCTGAAATGCTGGAGTCTCTGGAGCCCCAGAGGGAACGTGCTGCTATCCCCCATCAGAGCTTTGACTCGCTCAGGACAATGTTTGCAGTCACAAACACAAAGCAAGAAAAGCCCCAAATGAGCACAAACACAATCCAGAAGGTGTGCCTGAAGGGGGAGAGGTGCTTGTTCACCGTCCCGCTGCCGAAGACGAGCTGAGTGTCCTTCCGACTGCAGTATGCGAGGAAAGCCGGGATGAGATACTGGATCCCATTCCCAGCATAGGCTCCTGTGATCCCCACCAAGGACTCCAGATCGTGGGTGCAGAAAGCCACCAGCACTGGGGGAATCAATGTGATGGCAGGAAAGACAATCCTATCCACCACCCACGGGTAGGTCCCCCCTTCTCTGTGGAAAAGGGTCTTCCAGTTGTTGCGCAGGGTCACTGCGATGATGGGGAAGTTGGTGCTGATGGTGAAGACGGGGAAGAGGCCCAGGAAGTACCGAATGAAGGCAACGTTGATGATCTCACAGTTGGTGAAGTTGAGCGTGTACATGTCCATGAGGGTGTCGTTGCGGAAGCAGTAAATGGCAGTGAAGGACAGGAGGCTGTAGAAAGCCAGGATCAGGATGTAATCGAGCAGCACGAGCTTGTTGACATGCTTCTTCTTGGAGATGGGTGTGATGAGGGATGGCAGGGAGTGCTGGCACATGAAGGAGTAGACGCACACCCCAAAGAGATTGCGGATGCCCGACAGCTGGGCCATGGACGGGTGACCTTCAGCTTGGCCTCTGCTGATGCGGATGAGGGCCAGAATTATCATGAGGATGAAAGCTGGAGAGAGAGAAGGTTTCAGGTCAAGCCCAGGCCCGCACTCCCCACGACCCTCCTCCCATCACACCATCAGTCTCGGCACCAGCTCTCTCTCCTGCTATGCAAGAGCATCTCCTTATCTCTTTGATGTACCACCTTATCTGAGGGTGGTACATCAAAGGTAAGGTGCACAGGAATTAATTGTGATTTGCTGTCAGTGCCAGTCAGCAGATAAGGTTATGGGCTCAGGCATCTCCCTCCAGTCTCCTTCCCACAGGGACTTGTCCTCCCACCCCCAGGAGCACAGGGCTGCCCTGAGCTCTTTGGAAGCATAAGGTTAACATGGCCGGGGAGCCCATCACCCTCAAGGCTCTCAGTGTATGGATGCTTCTACCACACACAACTAGCTCAATATCACCATTTAAAATGGCTTAAGAGATGTTTGAGCTTTGACCTCTAAAGAGAGACAAGATTAAATCTGGCTCCAGTCAACCTCAGAAATATTTCTACACAGTTGCAACTGAAGTAATGTTTCCAAGACCTCCCCTACGTGCACAAGAGCAGCAGCTACTACCAAGTTTTCCTGTCCCTGTGATCTGTCGAGCATGATAGAGCAAGAACTAGCCAGCCATTTCCTGGGCAGGAGGAACAGGCTGTCTGTAGCTAATCCCAGGGTGGAGAAGCCAGTCTGGAAGGGACTAAAGCAGCACTGAAAGACGGCTATTAAAATTCATCACTTCTAGGCACAAAGTCTGCTCATCTTTCCCCTTCACTTATGTCGGGGAAGAGCCTAACAACATTTTACAAAGCTTATCACAAACAGCAACGTGCCAGGGACAAAATGAATTGAGGAGATCGGGCTAATGCCCTTATTTACTCTGAGGGTCGAAATTTGAGCCAGCAGCAGTTACTGTGAGACTCTCATTCCTAGCATGGCACATAAAACCAGCAGAAAACTAATTCTGGTGTCACAAAAATCGCATCAACCTGGGAAAGATGATCATCAGCTGCTGGAGTTAACAAGCAACAGAGGGGGGAAAGGACCCGCCTGGCAGGGCAGCAAGCAGCGAGATTTACAGTCTGGTGCTGGCAATGGATGGGCCACTGTGGCTTGCACAGAGCTGTCTGTGCACTCTGTGAGGGAACAGAGCCGTGAATTATCAGGTAATGAAAAAACAACAAAATGCTGAGACTACTATTACAGACAACTTTGAATGTCATAAATATAAATACAGAGGAATTAAACTGAACAGTGCACAGTCCAAGCTGGGAGCCAGGCAGGCTCGCTGTGGGGTGACAAGGACACTGGCTTGTTCCGTGCCCAGTCCTGCTCTCCCTGACACAGGCAGCTGGAGATGGGGAACTCTGCCAGGGATGGGACTAGGGAAGGCAGTTACAGACCAGTTAGTGAACGCTGCCTGTCCTGTGCCCAGATTAACCTTACTAAACATCGGTTCCTGCACACCCCCAGCGCTCTTTGAAACCCAGTTTCTCCTCTCTCAGTAATCCTCTTCCTCCTGCTGCAAACACCAGCTCCAAGCTGCACGCCACATTTCACCTCATGCTGCCTCAGGAAACCTCTCGCTCCCAACCGTTTCCCAGTGACAGGGCACATCTAACAGCCCTCCACAAACACTGGACTGATGGCAGCAGATCCATTCCTTCACAGCACCACGAGGGCTCGGCTGCTTTGGGAGAGCTGGGCTCTACTGACTCCCCCGAGAGCTATCACAGAGGGCTGTGGAAGGCAACAGCTCTTTGCTCTGGGGGTGTGCAATTCCCCTCGCCTTCACTCAAGCCAGTGAGCGAGGGGCACTGCGAACACAGGTACAGTTTTTGTGCCTCCCCCACATGTCCCGGAGGGGAGATGCCTGCCAGCCATATCTGCTCAGCAAGAAAGCCGGAAAGAGCTGTGTTCCGGGTGATGTGACGTGGCTGCGCTCCCCAGGGCTGCACAGCCTACAAGGAAGAGGAGAAGATGCCCTGAGCAATAAGACAAAGCAGGTTGGGCAGCTCTGGATATGTGCCGAGACTGTTCCTTTCCATCCTGGGAGAGGTGGTTGAGCTCTGTGGCCCAGAGCTGAGCTGGTCCTGTATCTGGACGAGGTAAGACTCAGAAGCCTTGCACCTCTTCCCCTGCACACCAGGCAGTGAATCTCCTTGTGCTCTGCTCAGCAGAATGATGAGTGACCTACTCTCACCATTGGCTCAAAGTTCCACTTTCTGCACCAGTGCCAACAGGACCAGTTCAGGGGAACTTCAAGGTGGGCACCTCACCCTCGGAGCACCTCCCATCTCCTCTGCCCTGACATGTGCTTTTCTGGCAGGGAGCACTGAAGGAACAGAATTCTTGTGCATTCCCTAAATGATAGAAAGAAGTCTTTGGCTTAAGCAACTAGAATTTAACACCTTTGTTTTTTCTTAAATACTCATTTCAGAAATTAAACTTACTAAAATTACAAGGAGTGACAATCTAGTGTTTCCAGCAAGGCAAGTTCTGCTCCCCCTGCCCGAGCACTGGTGTTCTGCAGATGCAAGATCCTTCAGAGAAATGGTGCTGGGTAAACTGGAAACCTCCCCTGCACAATTCCAGCCCTAGAGGACAACAGCAGCCCTGCCCCGATGGTTGGTTTCTCTCCCTCCCTGCAGCAGAAGAGTTTCTCAATTCTAGAACCGGAGAGCTAAAACATTTGCATGTCAGATTTATCTCTCTGTCCCTGGGAGGAGGCAAGCCCAAAAATGACACTCTGAAACCTAGATATGGTTTGGATGATAAGTCAAGATGAAAAGAAGATGACAGACTGACTGACAGGCAGCTTTGAGCAGAAAAGAGGCAGCACAGGATCCTCAGGCACACAAAAAGCTCCCACTCACTCACTCACATCCTCTACCTGGGACAGCAGGCTGAAGGCACTCACACAACAATACTTACAGCTGCCACATCAACTGTCCCAACAGTGTTCCTTCACCACAAGGATCCTGGTGAAGTCAGACATGGGTTCATAAAAAAACCTCTTGATCTGTTCCTCTCCACACAGGACAAATGATGCTCCAGGGATAAAACACCTTCAGACACCATGACCAAGAGCACCCAGAGCCAGGTGGGCAGTGATGCCACCGTGGATTGTTAGTTGCTTACAAGAAAACTTTGCTTTACACCTTGTTTTATATAAATGCTTAAAAAGCAATCGAGGATTTTGCTTGTCCTGATTTTTCCACAGTGTCAGACCCACTCCAAACCCCCAAACCACAGGCTTGGCTCAGAGGCACTCCTTGTCTCATTTTCTCTCCTCTAGATGTTCGAGCATTATTTTTGGTGTAGGATGGAAATGAGCCTGTGGAAAAAAAATAAAGAGGGGCTACGCCATAAAGGAAAAGTTGTGATGAATCTCATCCCAACCATCCGACTGCCTCCCCTGCAGACTCTCTTTGCTCCCATCACTCTTTGAGCAGCAAACACTGGCTCTTCTCAGATAAAGAAGACCTTGCAGACAGCTACTGCTGCCTCTCCTGCTTGACTGAGATGTTGATTCAGAGACAGGGCAGTTCTGCTCTGGTTCTTTTAGGTGAAATAAGGCTGAATATGGATGAGCAGGCATCCAAAGAAGTACACTTTGGGAAATATGGGAGTCAGGGGATATTAAGAAATATATTTTTGTGCACTTTAATAGAAGCATAACAGAGCTGCAGAGAAGCAGTGAAGATAATTTAGCCATTCCGAGTTTAAGGATCGTTTTGCAGAGCCAGAGAAAACACCTTTGCAAATGAAAAATGCTGTTTGTACACGAGCTTCATCTCTCTGCAGAGAGGCTATTGCAGAAAAGAAAACAATAAGTCCAAGGCTAAAACACATTTGTTTTCCCCCCATCATGGTAGGTTCTTGGAAGAACTGATGCTCAGAATGCGCTTCTGGCTTAACCCTCCCTTGCATCCCTGGAAGACACTTTATTTGTGAGATGGTCACGTCTTCTCCAACCCTGTCCCTGCTCTCATTCCTCCTTCCACGAGCAAAGCCCGGAGCAAACATCACCGTACCTGCCCGCTGTCCCTTCCAGGGACCCAGAGGGGCAGTGGAGTGCAGCCACCCCACGCCTGGCTGCTCCCCTGCCCCCCAGCCATTAGTCTGAGCCGGTGCCACGCGGCGCTGCCGACACGTTTGTGGCAGGGCCATCCGTCACCGCCGGCTGACGCCGTGACAGAGCTTCCCTGTCGAAGCAGAGAATCAATATGCCAGGAAATAATGATAATGAATCACCCTTTCCCAACACGTGCCACTTGCTTCCCTTTTCATACATTAGGTGGCAAGATGGATTCCATGAGGGAGATGTTTTCAGGAGCTCCCTGAGCCCAGTCTCTTTGGAAAGAGGAAGATCTCTCCCCACCTTAACCCTGATCCTCCATCAAGCCAATACACAGCAGACCACTCTTAAACAGAGGAACAGATCTCATTTAGTTTAGTGTTAGGCAGCTCCTTCAGGAGAAAGGGCATAAATGCAAGAGCATCTGCTCTGTACACACTGAATGGCCCAGCAGCACATCAGTCAGTCCCACCTTCTGCATCCCTTCCCTGTTGTCTCCTTCCCTGCTGATTTCTTTCTAGGATGCTGGTGCCCTCCCCCTCAGAGCCAGCTGCCTTCCAGCAGTGTTTTGGGTAAGCTGAAGAGCCCACTGTGACTCTGAAACTGCCAGGCATTATCGATACTGTGCCATTTAAACTATTAAAGCATGGCTGGAGTTCACCATGCTGGCAGAACAAAGTATCTGAAATTAAGACATTGATTTTTAAATTTAAAACTCATTTAGCCAGTTTCTCTTGCAGAAGCTATGTCCTGCCACTTGTTCATGACCTCCAGCTCTCTGTAAACTCCGGAGCAGCAGCTGATAAATTTCTCCAACCTTCAGAGGGGGTTTTTATATGAATTGACTGTAAAGAGGTAACATGAAAACCAGGTTTGCTCCATCAGTTGTGGGAGCTGGAGTAGTTAAGGATCACATTTGACGACGACAGACCCTAAAACACT